TTGCTTCCTGGGGCTCTTTATAGCAGACGCTGTCAAAGGTCACAGGAGATTGGGTTTTCAGAGCTAAGCAGGGCTGATTCGTGCATGTACAGTGGTACCTCTGGTTGCGAATGGGATCCGTTCCGGAGGCCCATTCGCAACGGGAAAAGAACGCAACCCACAGTGGCGTATCTGCGCATGCGCGGGTTGCGATCCGCCGCTTCTGCGCATGCGTGTGATGTCATTTTGTGCGTCTGTGCCTGCACAAGCGGCGAAACCCGGAAGTAACCCTTTACGGTACTTCCGGGTCGCTGCAGGACATAACCTGAAAGAACGTAACATGAAGCGAACATAACATGAAGTATGACTGTCATGGAAATGTCTCAGATACAATATTGCAGTTGTACCTCGGAAGTCGAACACCTTGCAAGTCAAATGTTTTGGCTCTCGGACACCGCAAACCCGCAAGTGAGTGTTCTGGTTTGCAAATGTTCTTTGGAATCCGAATGTCCTACACAGGTTCTGCGGCTTCCTGCAGCCAATCAGAAGCCGCACCTTGGTTTCTGAATGTTTTGGAAGTTGAACAGACTTCCGGAACAGATTCCGTTCGACTTCCAAGGTACGACTGTGTTGTTGTTGTTGTTTCAGTTTATATAATCATAGAATTGTAGAGTTGGAAGGGACCCCGAGGGTCATCCAGTCCAACCCCCTGCAATGCAGGAATCACAGACACCTAAGAAGTTTCCATGAAACTTACAAAAAAAATTAAACAATAATAAACTGCAACATAAAATCATAATAAAGAACAATGCATGGCAACAACAGTCATGGAATAACTATCAGGGGCGGGTGCCAGGAGCGGGTCAGCAATAACTCACACGGCTTCAGTGAAGTTAACTCTTTATTCAAAGAAACAAGACAGTCCAGGAATCCAGGCCTAGTGAACACAGCAGCTCTTCCTGGTGGAACTTGCCCCTATGAGGCAGTTGTGAGGACTGAAGGTCCCTGCCTTCCTACAGCTCCCTGAGTCTCCTCCTTCAGTTTCTTCCCAATCAACCTGAGGCTCCCCTTATCTAGTCTGTCTTTGCTCCTCCCTCTTCATACCTCTTTGGGATCTGGGAGACCAGGGTAGGGGGCAGCGTTTGGTCGTAGCAGAAATGGGAGACAGCCTGGCTTATTCAGCAGCCTGGCTCATCTCATTCTCTTGGCCCCCCCTCTGCTCCAGCTCCTGTGTCTGATTCGGGACTTCTCTGTGCCACAGACTTTTCCTGCTCACTAAATCCTGTTGCCTTTTCCACTTCCGATACCTCCTCCTCCTCCCCACAGTGCAAACAATTTTCCCAGAAAGGGAAAATTCTGGTTTATTAGGATTGGAATAAGTGTCTTCTATTCTACACTTCTACAACTCTAAAAGGAGCTCATCAAATGCTATGTGAATTTCATGCTGGTTAGGTAGTATGGGCTGTTTTTGAACATATCTACTGTATGCAGGGGACGCAGGTGGCGCTGTAGGTTAAACCACAGAGCCTAGGGCTTGCCGATCAGAAGGTCAGCAGTTCAAATCCCCACGAAGGGGTGAGCTCCTGTTGCTCGGTCCCAGCTCCTGCCCACCTAGCAGGTCAAAAGCATGTCAAAGTGCAAGTAGATAAATAGGTACCGCTCTGGCGGGAAGGTAAACGGCGTTTCCGTGCGCTGCTCTGGTTCGCCAGAAGTGGCTTAGTCATGCTGGCCACATGACCCGGAAGCTGTACGCCGGCTCCCTCACCAATAAAGCGAGATGAGCGCCGCAACCCCAGAGTCGTCTGCGACTGGACCTAATGGTCAGGGGTCCCTTTACCCTTTACCTTTACTGTATGCAGATTTTATTTCAGTTTTATTGTCAAGTCTTTCCCTCAAAGAGTTCTGGGAATTGTAGTATTGTGAGAGCACTTTTAGAGACTCCCACAGCTGCATGCACACTGCACAGAACTATAGTTCAAAGCGTCCCTGGGAAGAGTGGATGGCCTTTAATCAGTTTAAGTCTGTGATGTAGATGCTTTTGTGACTGACTCCAACTACAAAAGCTGAGGCTGCTGAACAGACTCTTGGGCTGGGACATTGTTCGGGGTTTTTGTTGCTGCTGCTGTTATTATTAAATTTTTGTATATTTTTAAATCTCTTTATGATTTACAAGGCGATTGCTTGGTTTGGTTTTTGTGCTTTTTAATGTGTTTTCTTTATTTGTGACTACTGTTACTGTGTTTGTCATGGTGTAAATATTTTCATGTTTTTAGCAGCCTTGAGCGTGGCTTTAACTATGGGATGAATTAAATGATGAAGATTTCAAGGACAACAGCCTTTGGGAAGTGGTTACTTTTGTGATGATAGAATCATCTATTTTCACCAAAGCTGTTGCAAGCTGGCCATTTAGCAAAGGAGCTGTGGGTGATGCTTATCCCTGAGCTGTAACAGCCACATCCTTGCTCTAACAGTTTTTTAAACTCCAGCTTGGACTTTGCGGTCAGTGGGCATTACAAAAGAGCAACACACACATCCTCTCCCTCTCCACGCCCCCCACCCGGCCAGATTGAAATCACAGCACGGTGTTTCTAGACAAGTTGTTATGTAATCCTCTCCCCCCCACTTCCGAGGGTGTCACAGGAGAAAGGACAGATGGGCAGCTCTTATGAAATAGAAAGAGGAAAGACGATCTTCTGGCAGGGACTGAGCAAAGGTCATCCTTTGCTTTGTGTGCGTCAGCAGCAGAGAGTTCAGACCTGCGTATGTTACGAGGCCGAGTGGGATTGGAAGTGACTTGACAGAAAATAAAAACAGGTTTGGGGAACTAACCCAACCAAGGAAGTTTCTTATGCAGCAAATGTCTGCTGAAAAGGGAGAGTTGAGGTATTCATTTGCTGCTCAGCTCCCTTTGGTGTTTTGCACTTCCTTCTTTCATAAACAGGGATGGAGAACCAGTGGCAGCCAAATGCTGTTGGACTCCAACTCCCATCAGCCCCAGCTAACATGGATAACGGATGGGGATGATGGGAGTTGGAGTTAATCAACATCTGTGTAGAGCATCTCACTAAGCTAGTGCCCTCTGGATACAGTGGTACCTCTGGTTAAGAACTTAATTCGTTCCGGAGGTCCGTTCTTAACCTGAAACTGTTCTTAACCTGAGGTACCACTTTAGCTAATGGGGCCTCCCGCTGCCGCCACCGCGCGATTTCTGTTCTCATCCTGAAGCAAAGTTCTTAACCCGAGGTACTATTTCTGGGTTAGCGGAGTATGTAACCTGAAGGGTCTGTAACCTGAAGCGTCTGTAACCCGAGGTACCACTGTATTTTGAATTGAAAAACACCCAGAAAATCAGTCACGTTACCCAGTTCCCACCTTTAGTGAGGGAGTCTGTCACAGAGCCAAACCTTGTGAGTCTTTCACACCTGATCATTGTCATGGCTGAATGGAAAAGACCCACATGATTGACTTCATCTATGTGACTGGAATGGGACGTGGGTGGCGCTGTGGGTTAAACCACACAGCCTAGGACTTGCCAATCAGAAGGTTGGCGGTTCGAATCCCCGCGACGGGGTGAGCTCCCGTTGCTCGGTCCCTGCTCCTTCCAACCTAGCAGTTCGAAAGCATGTCAAAGTGCAAGTAGATAAATAGGTACCGCTCTGGCGGGAAGGTAAACGGCATTTCTGTGCACTGCTCTGGTTCGCCAGAAGCGGCTTAGTCATGCTGGCCACATGACCCGGAAGCTGTACGCCGGCTCCCTCAGCCAATAAAGCGAGATGAGCGCCGCAACCCCAGAGTCATCCACAACTGGACCTAATGGTCAGGGGTCCCTTTACCTTTATGTGACTGGAATGTTCCCATGCTCCCTGGTGCCATGGGAACATCTCTCTGGGAAGTGGCTGCCATGCTACTAAGGACATGGACACTTCTGCTTGTCCTGAGTCTAGAAAGCACATGTCCGAGAGGATTTTGGTTTGTCCAAGGCTTTCTAGGCAAAGGTCCGTGCGGTTTTTCATTTGTCCTGCTACTTTACCCCAGAAAACCCTTTTTACCACTGAATCCGAACCAAGTCAATCCGCAGAAAAACTAATCGATGTTTGTTGTGATTTAGCAGTGAACAGTAGGTTTCCCCCAGGGAAAGCAGAGGTGGAAGTGTGGCTGAGCCCTTTGCGGATATGGGAAAAGAAAGCAGATACTTCTAACCAAGGCAACCATACTGCCACATGAAAACATGCTTACTTGCATGAGCAAAGGATGCACCGAGCATGGGCTGCCTTGCGCTTCTTGGGCTGGCTAGCTGCCTGCTTATTTACTGTGGGAAGCTAACACGAACCGCTGGGAAATGTATGCGAGTTTCGTTCCCTGATCTCTTTTTCTTAGTATTTGTTATGCTTTGGCAACTGACAGTTAAGAGCACATAGAAAATAGGAGCACCAGGCCAATATTTACATTGTTCTGATATATTTAGCCTACCACTCATCTCTTCATTGATCCCTCTTTCTTTCTCTTGAGGGTTTCACCTCAACAGCTAGGTTACAGGTGCAGGGTTTTCTCTGCCAACATTGCAGGTGACTCCCTTGCCTTCTTAGCGAGTGCCAGGAACAGAGCCACACCTGTTTGGCAAAGAACACGGACCTGGTTGCATCCTGAAGGCACACAGGGGATCATGTACACAATGATGAGTTCTAGAAAGGAAAGGAACATTGCAATCACAACGTGACAGGCCTTTTATTTTCTGTACTCAGGAAAAAGGCTTGGCATGATCCTGAAAGGCTCTTTCTCTCTCTCTTCTTTTTTTTTTTTGGAAACGGGCATATTCTCTGTTGAAACAGGTAACTTCATGTTCGAAATAGCTGCCTTAAAAAACAACAACAACAAAAGCTTAGTTCTATACACCATTGGTCTTTAACCAGCAGGCTATGACCCACAATATACTTACGGCTAAATAACACTGATATCATTCACTGCATTATCTTATCCCAGTTCTCCATTATCTCTATATTTATTTATTTAAATAATTTCTTGGATGTGAGGGCAATCTGGCTGCGACATCTGTCACCCCATTGATCGCCAGGGTTGATTCGGCTGATCTGGCTGGCTGGGCGGGTGTCCCCTTCCTCCCTCACCGCTCCATGTGTGTCCCTCCCGAAGCTGCGCGCTCGGTGGAAGAGGACGACCATCCCAGATAGAAGGAGTGTACCGTTCTTCGGTCAAGGGTATACGATAGCTGCGCTCCCCTGCTAGAACCTCCAAACAAGCTCAAATAATTTCTTACTTGCCCGTTAGCGCTGGCTCCCAGAGCAGCTTACCAGTAAAACACTGCAATATTCAGACAAAACAAACAAACAAATCGCAGCAGGCAGTAAAAATCCAACATCAAAGCTATGTTGAAAGACTAAATTAAGCTAAACTATAAAAGGCCTGGGGGGGGGGGAGACCACCCACCCCTGAGGACGACTCTTCTGGCTTTTCTCTGATTTCCCCACTCTCGTTTGAGAAAATAAGGGGAAAGCTCCAGGAGAACACAGAAGAACAACAGCTGTATGGCAGTGGTATGTCTGCCCTGTAAAAAGCGAGAGGACTGTGTTGACTTCGTGAAACCAATTTTTGAGTGCATCTTCCTTAATAAAACTAGACAAATACCATGCCTTTTTCACTGTGTCACTGTAATGTTTTTCAGGCCTTAAAGAAGGGCTCTCTGCACCATGCTGGAGCCTGAACTAATGCCCAGCTCCTTCTCTCTATCCCTCTTTGGGCTTCTCTCCTAACGCTATTATGGAACATATGACCAGGGGACTCAGCAATACAGTGGTACCTCAGGTTAAGAACTTAATTCGTTCTGGAGGTCTGTTTTTAACCTGAAACGGTTCTTAACCTGAAGCACCACTTTAGCTAATGGGGCCTCCTGCTGCCGCAGCACTGCTGGAGCCCGATTTCTGTTTTCATCCTGAAGCAAAGTTCTTAACCCGAGGTACTATTTCTGGGTTAGCGGAGTCTGTAACCTGAAGCGTATGTAACCCGAGGTACCACTGTACAGCTGCAATTAAAATGTTTTAAGTGTGTTGTAAAGTCCAATATACAAATGTGACAGTAGATGGTGACAGTGAGCGATGGCAATTTCAATGTGTTTTTCAAAACTTTTTTTTTTTTAAAGCATTTTCACAGCATTTTTTATATGTGTGTAGATTCCACCCAGGACTGGTTTCCATGGTTTGCTCCCCCATCGCCCTGATCCATGTTTGGGGAAATAAACAACGCCTCTGAGGCTGCACTCTTTCCTTAAAGGCTCAGCCAAGTAGTGATCGCTGGTTTCTAGGGGCCCCGGTTCAAGACCCGCCTTGGCACCCTAGAGACTGTCACAACAGAAAATATCTGTCTCCAGGAGTCACCCACCTACTTCAGGTGGTGGTGGAGACACAGAACAGGGCCTCTGAGATTGGGTCTTGAGCCATATATGAGACTTAGGTAGAGTGGAAGTTAGAACATTACAAATGTTTGGTAAACATTTATGATATGAAATGCTCACTACAACACACACAGACACACCCCATTTATCTATCTTCATGTTTTCCTTAACTGCCATGGCTTTTGCTTCTGTAGAACAGGGTGTTCTTTTAATCTTTAGATTTGGATTTGCACCACATATTTATTAGGCCAAAAGGAGGTTTGACAGCTTTTGAAATCAAGAAGATCTAGGGTGGAGAAAGGAGCTTGTAGTACCAGGAAGGTCTAGAAGCAGAGTTCAATGCAAAAGCTCTTAAGGTCTATAGTGTTAAACATAAAATGACTGATAACGGTGGGTGGGGAAATTGACCTTTCCCCTTTGCTTTCCTGGCACCTAGCCTGAAACAAACAGAACCCTTATAGACCAGTTTTTTTTACTTGTCATTTGGCAACCATCCTTGAAAAGGTTTCCTAGATTCCACTAGAATAATTAAGCTTGTGTTGCTTCCCACCTCTTAATAACTTAGCTGCATCCTGGTTATATTTAACATATATTGAAGGTTTATTTTCTGAGATATTTTTTTTTCTATAGAGAGGAAATGATGAATACTTATTAATACTAGGAAAGAAACCCCAAAAAGCTTATCCCTGCCTTGCTATTATTGTCTCCCGGTGACCACAGGCAGTATTAATGTTACTATTCTCTTCCTGATACATGCTGTTTCACATTGTGTTTCGATACCCAAAATGGCTAATATTCTACATTATGCATTTTGTAATCAAATCATCTAGTGAGAGGAGGGGAGTAAAGAAAATGTATTTTTAAAAATAATTATTAAAAATCTCTTTTGAAATGCATTTATATGGGAGCACATCACTGTGGAAAAGACAGAGCCTGTCTCCATAAGATCTCCAGCGACTGTTGAAACCAGGAAGGTTAGGCAGAGCCAGACTGTCTGTCCTCTTCACTGCTGCGCATCACAAGCTGCATATCACAATTTTGAAAATATATAAAGTGAAGTATATTTGGGGCGAGAGACGAGGGATGCAAAGTTTCCCTTTAGGAAGCAGCCTTACCCTGAATCAGACGAAAGGTCTGTGAGTGACAAAGCTGAGGGAACTTGAATTTGAATGTCTGCGTGCTTGCCAAAGCAGATATGGGCCATGAAAGACTCTCCCAGTTTCATATATATACACACATGCCTTGTCCAATTGTAGAATACTACAGTGGTACCTCGGGTTACATACGCTTCAGGTTACAGACTCCGCTAACCCAGAAATAGTACCTCGGGTTAAGAACTGTGCTTCAGGATGAGAACAGAAATTGCGCGGCGGCAGCGGGAGGCCCCATTAGCTAAAGTGGTGCTTCAGGTTAAGAACAGTTTCAGGTTAAGAACGGACCTCCAGAACGAATTAAGTACTTAACCCGAGGTACCACTGTATCTTCTAAACTCAACTCAACAACCTCACAGTTAGCATTATATCAACACCATTCAGTTCCCCCCAACAGCCACAAGAATAGCTTCTGAAGGGCCCTTTTGCCAGGAAAGGAGGAAAAGGAAAAGGAAAAGAGCTTGCTGAACTGCCACCCCTCAGCTCCCAGATGTGGTGGCTCCTCCCTCATCCAACTGTCACCACAGAAACTTCTGCAGAACCGTCTTGCCCTGCAGGGCTTGGAGAAGGAGCCGTTACTACAGCTTGTTCCCTTTACTGTAACATCTTTTGAATAGATGCTTCTTGTTGTGAAACCACCTTGTGAGGTTCGTCTCAAAAGCAGCATATAAAGAATTTAAATAAATAAATGTGGAGATATGTGCTCTCCCCCCCCCCTTGAGGCTGAAGAAAAAGTAAAATAGAATTCAATCCCTTTTGAGAAGATGTGCCAAATTCACATCAAAACTCTTTGTTCTTATTCATTCTTTGCCACCATTGGGGGGGGGGGGCTGGGTAGTGAAATAACCAACTTTTTGCAGACAGGTAGATAGTTTTTTAAAAAATGAAACTGGTTGATGATGTCTTAAGATGCAAAGGAGTTTAACTCCCAACTTGGCTGAAATAAACCATCTTGAGTGTTGCTTTAAGATTCTACAAATTCTGCAGTCAGATCTCATTTCAGGTTTTGCTCCAAAGGAGGCAACGAAAGCGGATCAGACAAAAGGATCCTAATGGCAGCACTATCTGATCACCCCAAATGTTCCCTCTCCTCTTTAACATGTTCCTTGAAAGCCTATTTTTTTGCGCAATTGATATAGGTTTCTAAAGGACTGTTCAGAACACTGATAATAAGTTTTGCTTGTATATAGCTGAAATGGAAACAAGGCAGAACATGTAAAACAAAATCAGCAGGGCCACCAACAGACCTGTCAAATCAACTCCCAATGAGGATGTCATGTTACTCCAGAACTCGGTTTTACTGTCAGCCATTTGTTTTCATGCCACATAATATCACATTAACTAGCTGTTATTATGCATTCATTCTTGGCCTCATTAATGTGCTTTCAGCATGTCAAGCTGACATATATTTGTTGCATTGATAACTGCAGAACATTCAAAGGCCTGGTGCATCAATATTAATTCCTACACTACGTTTCTCTAACATGAAAGGAAGAAGAGAAATAACCCGTCTCCCATTGTCTGTACAATAATCTGCCATAGCAGCATTATAAAGTAAAGGTAAAGGACCCCTGGATGGTTAGGTTCGGTCAAAGGCAACTATGGGGTGCAGCGCTCATTACGCTTTTCAGGCTGAGGGAGCCGGTGTTTGTCCGCAGACAGATTTTCTGGGTCATGTGGCCAGCATGACTAGACCGCTTCTGGCACAACGGAACACCGTGATGGAAGCCAGAGCTCATGGAAATGCCATTTACCTTCCTGCCACAGCGGTACCTATTTATCTACTTGCACTGGTGTGCTTTTGAACTGCTAGGTTGGCAGAAGCTGGGACAGAGCAAGGGGAGCTCATCCCTTCACAAGGATTCGAACCGCCAACGTTCCAATCAGCAAGTCCAAGAGGCTCAGTGGTTTAGACCACAGTGCCACCTGCAATCTCTGCTGTGTGGTGGCAAGATTCCAGGGGGCTCCAGGCACTCACCCAGGGTTGTATTTCCATCGGGAAATCAAGGCACAGTGGACACCAGTGTCTGTAAGAAATATGGTTTATTTTACAAATTGTTACACCTAAAGCCTTCAATGGAGGGGGTGTAGAACATTACATCACAAGAGGGTCTCTCATTGCTCTCTTCATAGCTTCAGCAAACTTGGGTCCAAAGCAGCAGCCAGTCTGGTCTCTTGGTGCAGCCTCATCCAGCAGGTGCAATATGGCATTCTCCTACTTCCTCCTTCTTGTTCCCAGAACACCTTGCCAAATACAGCCCCTCCCCTTCTTCAGAAGGACAAACTTTTTCCTGTGTGTCATCACACCCATGTTAACCTGGCAACCTTTATCTCTCAGACACAAGCATCTTCTTTTTATGGGTCATCAACAACCTTTGTCATGCATTACAACTTCAATCCCAAGGGAAGACTCCAAGCATTTAGTAATTTCTAGCATTCAATCATTTCAAACATTCACTAACTTCTTAGAATTATAGGCGCTTTTGTAAAGCATCAGTGATAGGTGGCCATCCAACCACTGCTTAAAAACTTCCAAGGAAGGAGAGTCTACCACCTCTTGAGGAAGACCGTTCCACTGGCAGACAGCTCATACTGGCACTAAAAAATGCCCTTTAAGTTTCTCTCATGTAGCTTGTGAATGTTGTTAATGCAAGCTAAAACGTAAAAGAGAACCATTTAATTTTAAAGTCAAAAGCACGTTCTAGTCAATGTCAATTTTATATTCACGTTGACACTAGTCAAAATGCCCTTGTGGGGCTACAAAAAAATGTC